ACCTCAGTGCTTGTTATGAATACTCTGTTGGCTTGGTAACAGGCAGCTAGCCATGTTCCAAAGAGAAGCACCGGAGGCATACTTTTCCGCTCCCTCCAGTTCCTTTATCCAATGTGTGTCGTCTTCGTTTTGCCAGTGGAGAGGTACTTTGTATGTCCCAACCGACCGGGCCCTGAGAAAATTGAGCCTCTCTCCCGGCTCCAAACGAGAAGGGAGCAAATGGGCGGACGATTTCAAGATGGCCTTTCAAGCCGTAGAAGCTGATCGGAGAACATGTGGAGGGCTCGTAAGCGGAGGTCGTTTGACTGCCAAATCGCTGTTAGCAAACCTTCCTAATAGTTTCTGAAATGCAGACGTGTACACCTCCATGCATCAGTCCTTCTGAGTGGTATGCCATGGCGAGGAAGTTTTACAACCGAAGTCGTAAAACGACGCATCATTTTGGACGCGAAGATTGATGGCGGTGGATCATTTGGAAGACCGGAAAGACTCAAAACTTTTATTGAGACCATTTGGGCAGGATCACGTGATTCCAGTCACTTCAAAATGTTTTCATAAAATTACCCTCTCTCTTTGTTTTTGAAAATTTCTGCCCCTGTTGTTTGTTACACTGTCCATCCAATGGTATATATGTACAGTACATAACTACATTAAAAGAATTATAAATCCCAGTGTTGTAGGGCAAAAAAGTTAATATGAAATTAATCGTTGACACAACACACAAATAAACGACAATATTTCTTGACCGTACAACGTCGATATTGAACCAGCGTTGCACATTTTTCTTCCTGTTTTCAAAATTTGTGCAATACTGCACCACACCTGACGCTGTTGTGGCATATACAGCGCGCCAACAACTATAATTATACTAAATTCCGTTAGTCGGTGCAGGAGCAGAAAAAAATGTAATTGTTCGACCCAGACAAATTGATTGACCAACGTCTAGGCAGACAAAATTCTTTAGTTTATTCAGCCTCCAGATTTTTGACGGACTAGCGTCAGCAGTTGGTCCTTTGATATGATTCTATTCCGATTTCTTGTTTTTTGCTAGAAAGTCACAAGACTTGAATGGAAAATGCAAGGCATTAACATTTCAGGTTAAACTCTGTACGAGATGCCAAGTACGTGAAGGCGATGTGGATGCTAAACACTAAAGTCTGTAATTTGCTCAATACAAATGGTTGATGATGAAACATTCGTAATGTTGCACTGCTGAACGGTTTAGTAAATACCCCCCCCCCGCCACCTTGACGCTGATATATCCATTCTCACCCCACGTATCTTTCTTGAAACAGCGCAGTGACGATTCGGGATCGAAGTCTGTTGCGGAGTAAATCGAGCTGAAAATAGAACAGAGCGCGTGGTACATTCCGGTCAATGTTTGAAGTTCTGTTTTTCCAATCCGGTCTGTCGCCTGCCGCGACAGTCGACCACTCGGCTTGAATTCAAAAATGTGATCAGGATTGACTTGAAAGACACTTGTCACGTTGATATCGAAATGGAAGAAGGCTCTGGCTTTTGGGCTAACACATGGAGACTTGGTTGAAACCTCTTTCGAGCCGCAAAGATTTCCAGTTTTTCCACAATCCCTCTCACCAAAAAGCCTCCAAAACAACATATAAGCATTTGTTTGAAGACGACTGCGCAAACGTTGTTATGACAAAATTTTGTAATAACAACACGCCGTGGCTGTCCTTTGATGTAAATTGAGCGGGAACATTTTGTGTAGGGAGACTGGTACCCCATGGGAGAGAAGTGAACTAAATTATTACTAGGAAAATTACTCTTGACGACAGAAACGGGTTAATAATTGAACCGGTCAAGGTGTCAGACCATGATGGACACAGATGTCTGGTTGACCTAATGACGTCACATTCTTCATGGACACAACTGAAACGTATTTCTTGTTTTGCTTTGTTTGGGCATTGATGTGTTTCTCACATGACTCTTGCATCAGTCCAGTGCGTGGACATTAGTTCATCCATTATTCACGTCCTCTCGAATTTGATGGCCTTTGGTGTTCGTCCAAAGTGAGTAAGATACAGAAGATGGAACTCATCATTTACGCGGTGCACTTTTCATGTTTTAATGTGAAAAACGTACTGTAATTGTCGCCGTTAAATCAGCCATGTGTGATGCAATAACCTGCACTGATCGATATCTTGCTGTGATTTCCCAACAAGTCATCTGCAAGAATTCGTTTTCGTGCGTGCATTGGTAGAACCTGAAAATAAGGTGTAAAAATGCCAAGAATGATTGTAATAATGAAAACAAGCTCAGGGCCCATAGTTCAATTATTACAAAGAGGTGGATTTACAAAAATATTTTAATATCCGTCTACATTTAAAAAAAAAGCCATTTGCAGTTATGTGGTGGTGCTTTATTCGTATCGTAATTCCCCGTATTTCCTTCTTTATCAAATTAGAATTAATTAACCATAGGGACCTGGTTAATATCAAATTTAAAAAGTTCTTTCCGTTGACGCATTATTTCGCGACTCAAAAGATTCCATGAAGTTCCATTTAATGGCTAGGAGACATATATCGTTCATTAAAAGCCAATTATCGAGGGTGCACTGCAAAAACTGCGGTGTAAATTTAATACCTCCGATATTATCAGAGGACTACACCAACACTTTTCACTAGTGTTAAAAATGTGGTGTTATTCGGTGTTACTTTTAACGTCGTCCAGTGCATTGTAACACTTATTGGTGTGCAAAATAACACCAGTGGTGTTAAAGTAACACCGTACGGTGTGGTCATTTGATAACACTAAAAGGTGTTGATCTAACACCACAGTTTTTGCAGTGTGGCCGCCACTCTGATACATCTGGTTCTTCGTCTCCGAGGCAACACACTTCAGGCGCATTTCTCAGTTGTTGTGGCCCCCGGTGTAGCCACCGGGGGCAATAGTTCAGGCTCACGACCTCTATAGGCCTACACAGCAACGCTCGAGCCCCCGTTCAAATGAGGTTGGCGGTCCAACTGTTATTAGTGATCCAAGCACCAGGGGCTATAGGATGGAAGTTAGGCACAGAATAGAATTATCTGAGCGGCATTTTTCTGCTGGTAATTTCGAATCTTAATTTAATTGGCCATACTGACGTCGTCTGCAAACAGAAGGCCGGCCGCCATTTGGGCGGGCAGGCTCGTCCACCGACCTTTAATTTGCAACCCAATGTCACGTTCGCCGAGTTATAGAAGAATTGTAGCCTAAATACGCTAGAATAGCAAAGACTTGAATTCGATACATAAAAGACAGAGAGGCATAAAACGGCGAGAAACCTAGACTGGCAAAGGTTTAGGTTCAGACTAGTGTATCCAAAGTGATACTTTATCGTAAAACGCGTTGATTACTAAAGTCAAAAGTGAGCACAGTTTGATGATCCTCTAAACGTCTATGGTGAAAAAAAGAAACTCTGACTTATTAGAATTAATAACAGGAGAAGTGGTCGTAAAGTAGTATAGATGTCAGTTGGAAAATGTTTTTTGTGGCGCTCAAACAAGTCTGCATACAACACAGGGCACGCTGTGCACAGCCACCGAGAGTCGTTTGATGTCTTTCAGCGATGTCGAATTTTGTCCCCCACTGGCCTCGCCCGTGGCTTCACAGATCAATGGACGAGCGCCGGCTAATGAAATACACGCTCGATGGTTGTTCCCGTCCCCGCTAATCAACGCCGATTCCTGTCGGTAAGAGCACTCTTTCCCCTGCGTGCATTTTGTTTTAATCCCCAGTGGTTGGAAGATCCAGGGTGGGTCCTCGCCGATGTTTAAGTTAGTCAAGATGAAAAGTGTGCCATCAATCATATTGTTTGACCAATGAGAAGGTACTTTAATGCCGGCAATATTACAAAACATCATCCTATCACCATATCCACACCAGGAAACACCATGCTTCACCACGAAGTCGTGTTTTGCTATACCACTGAGGAGAGGGCACTGCAATATAGCACTCGCCCACATAAGCGAGGACAATACATCCAGGACAATAGACTAACCTCCGAGGACAGTGAAACACATGATTTGGTTCCCTTTGTATTCTGTCCTCTAAGGCAAAATAAGATAGGCATAGTAAGAGTATGCATTGTGCCATCATTTCAGGTCTTGAAAACTTCAAGGGCAAAACTTAATACAGTTTCGATGAGTTTTGATCGCGCAAATTTAATACTGGAAGTATTCACAGAGTTGGGATGAAAAGAAATTACAGATTTCAACGATGGTCATACATTTTCACTGCGCAGTTCACGACCGAAAACACTGTCATAACTGCGGTGTTCTAAATAGGCCTAAGCCGGCAAAAACGGGGTTCCCTGAAAAAATCTTCTGCACATGAAGCATTTTTTGGAGTTAAAAGTTTCCTCTTCTCTCAATCAACCCAATAAACATCTCATTTTGCATGACTATACTGTAAACAGACCGTAGTGAATAAGGCTTACAGACCTAGCAGCCGGGAGGATTCTTAGTCACTGACAGTTTGACGTTGCCATGGAAATACGAGAAGACACAGTCCCATTACTTAACTGACACTAGTGATACGTGCCCGCCATCTCGTGTTTGCTTTTTTTGTGGAATCGAACCTCACAAGTAAATAATTCGTGCATAGCCCATCCGACGAACATTTTGAATGGATACCGGCATCCTAACCGACTGTGAGAGCATACTTAGCTTTTCGAGGGAAAAATCGCAAACATTTTGTCTCCTCTACCAAAGTAATCCGCAACGCTGTTCATGTTGAATACAAGGTCAAACAGTGTATTTCAGCGTCCTCCAGACAATTCTACTTCTAAAAACGTCGCGAATCTTATGTAAAAATACAACAAAGATACAAAGAAAACTCAAGTACAAAGACACCAAGTAACAAAATAACTAACGTTAATTTCTGACACTGTATGTCGCTATTGCCATTCAGTGCGCTTAATTGGAAGTGCACTGAACTAGTATTACATGTACATACGGAAAAAAACACAACTAGAAACAAGTAAAATGTAGAGCACACACCTGTTAATATGGACAACTTCTTGATAGCTGGAAATGGATTGTTCCCAGACGTGTCCAGAATGTCTAGTTGATACACGTGCCCTTTAATTTTGTAGATTTTTCTATGGAAGTCCTCGATGGTCGGCGTGTACTGGTCGTCAAATTTGCCGTTCAGGAATCGGCTAACGATGGCTGTCTTGCCCACTTTGGGTGAGCCGACCACCACCAGGCGGTAGCAGTTTTCCTGTGGGGCTGAGACCTCCGAGTCCGGTGTGGAAGCCTTCGATGCCATGGCCATGGCGTGGGCTGGCATTTGTCTTCCCTCGGAGAGGGGAGAACAGTCTTGGTCGAGCAAAAACCGACCCAAGGACTCCAGGAGTCTTCTCTGGCTCTACCGATGGCCCTATAACCGAGTTCGCTGGATATCAAGTGTGCGGAGCACACGGACCTGACAACGATCCGGCTTGGGATTAATCCAAAATGGCCTGAAATCAAGACGCGTCCGCGGCGTAGATGAACGCCACGCTGCGTTCTGCCGGAGGAACAACAGGCTCCTAGTGATGAGAATGTGATGCGAACAAGGGGATGCTTTTCAAAGACCAGCCGGCTGAAGTGTCAGATGATAACAACAGACGACAGGTCACCATGCATAAGGTGGAGAAAATGTCCGAAATTGTAATCAAAGATGAGACTCTTCAATCGGTACACTGTAAAAGAGCTGTCTTTACTTTTGTACGCTGAAAACGATAAACAGAAACCGTATTATTTGGCAATTTGGTCAGTGGCGGTGGTTTCCTCAGACAAAAACTACTGCAGAACTATCGAGAGTAGTAGGCTATTCACACATGCACTATCGCACCTCAGTAGCAGCCAATTAACTGCAGAAAGCGAAACGATGCGCCGTCGGCACAGAAATTGCTAAGGTAATGATGTATGCCGCGCCGAGCGACAGTTTTCAAAGGAAAATTATTTTCCACTATCAGTGACTCACCATCAGTGCGACTGCATTAGAACATCTCCTGGCGGTAACTGCATCCCGCGTGCCAGCGAATAAAAACGCAGCCTGCACTTCTCCAATCCCATTGGTCCACGCTGGACACCACACTCTGGTCACTGCAAACAAGGAGGGCGCCGTTCCCTCCGATAGCATCCTGCGTGGATGAACTCGGCGGCAGGTCTAGTGCCTGCTACACAGATCTAACAGACACACACATGACCCCTTTTTTGTCAGTCACGTACAGACCGTCGATTTTCAATTACCTTCTCTGCTGCACCGCTGATAAATTAAATGCTTTCCTTTACACTGAGCAGGCTGTAAGCTCCAGAGCCCCTTCCCTCAGAATTTGCCGAGATACCGACAATGATCCTGAGTGTTTCGAAGGTTCTCGTCCCAGCAACACAGAACGGGAAAAAGGGCAGATCTCGGCCACTTTATCTTACGCTCTTTCCAAAAATCGTTTCAGCCGTGACGTTTAAGAACCCAGGGTGAGAAACGTGACTGGCATGATGCTGTGAAGGTCCCTACACAATTCCAGATGATTATCAGCACACATTATTACGGCAATGTGTCCCAGGCTGGTTCTGTTTGCGGACGTGAATTATGGGTCTGCAAGGTTTTAGCATTAAGAATACACCGCATAACTAACACACAAATGAGGACGATGACTGACGGAGTGGCTAGAGCATCCGAGAGGACATGTTCTGGGTCTTTTGTTACACTGCGAATCATGTCGAATAATGTAAGTGTGAGCAGCGATTATCCAGTTTTTGGTGTGTGTGTGGGGGGTAAATTTGGAAAGCGAACGCGGCTTCGGGCTCAATCAACATGATGCTGTGGAGAAAAAAACCAACAGCCTTACAGTCCCGACCGCCTTCCTTTTATTTGCTGGTGTTATTTTCTTTGAGATTTGGTGCTAATATTTGATAAATATACCGATTTCTTTCTTTTATACTCCCCTATGAAATATTTTTGTAAAACAAATTCGTCAGGGGTCTGGTTCCCCCAGCCCCCCCCCGCTAGATATGCCACCGACTGTGAAGCGGGAACCATTACAATGTATCATGAGCCAGCTGCATAGAGCTGCAATTAGTATTCGCTATTCACAAAAAATACACCAAAAACAGGTAGCCAACCAAACAGTCCTTTGCAATCTAACTGCTTGTAATTGCTTTTCAGTTTTCTTTCCCAGCACAAGAAATCGCCCAGCACTATATTTAGGTAACCTGCTGCATGAAATTAGATCCTGGTCGGTGAAGAACATTGCCTGTGGCTTTTCATTTACACACTCTAAATCCACTGCAAAACAACGATGCAAAACGTGCAGAGCTGCGCTATTCCAAATACACAGAACCGCTAGATTGCCCCTTAATAATTATACTCTATCCACACACAGTTCACTGGAAGACCGAGGACTGCAAATAAGACATTAGAATTGACAGTGACGAGTCGATTCCCGAAATTAGGGGCAGTAACAGAGACAAAACATTCAGAGGAAGGACGCAGTTGTCTAGAGCCGCTAGTATCGTGGGAAACAAATTAGAGTTCCCTGAATTTGTCAAAACTGGCGAAGTACTCATACACAGCGTACGTTATGACACATCTCGTTTACCATCTTAGCGACATTGGCCGAAACAAAAGAAAAACTGTGAAATACGATAACAGTATCCTCAGAGGAGGGAGACGGAGAGAACGTGCCTGCACTCATTAAGGGCAAGTAATAATTCTGCCACACCTCTTAAATTTCCCGCATCTATGAAATGTATATTTTCACGGTCAGCAGTACCATTGACGGTTCCCAGAAATACATGATGTCACTCATTTGCTAATTTATTAGCTGTTGGTGGCTTCAAGTTGTGATGATGTCCAAAGCGCCAAATAAGGATGAGTACAATCTCTCGGTGCCATAACACTTAAAATAAACCATTTGTCACTTGTACATGATTTTGTTTGAAGGGACAAAATTGTTCCAAATTTTGAGACGTGGGCTAAATAACCAACCTGATAAAGTTTAACCTCTGCGGAAACTGCAGTTACCGAGAAAATGCACACTGTTTGTGGGTTTCGTATTTTGAATTGTGTTAATTGTCTCTTTAATAATAATAAAATAAATAATAATACATGAACGCCAATTCCATCCAGATGCTCCATGGCGCTTCACAGTATGTAATACACTAAACACTAACATCAAAATAACAAGTTTATAACGTTACATTACTTTCATAGAAAACCTCATTTTCAGAACGCGTTTGAATTACGTCTGGTCCGATTCTCAGAAATTCTCAAGAAGGTATTGATTTCAGAACAGGTCTTTGAAATGACTTCCTTCAATCGTTTCCTTCATGATGGCAGCCTGAGCTGTCAGAAGGACACACTTCACGTTATAACGCGTTTATGGTGTCCGTGTTTCCATTAGATCGTCAGTCAACTCCCTCCTGCCGCGATTTACGAAGATAGCATATGCATGTTAATGATACCAAGTGTAATTGCTGTGCGATGAGGATAAGCTGGGTGACGTAATCGATGTGCAAAGCAGTATTTCTGTCTATAGAGACATGCAGCGCATATACAAACTTTGTTGTGGTCCTCATAGCCTCAATGACAAACCTGACACGTGACTTTTTCTGAGCCAATGAAATCACTGACCGAAGTACAACATGCCAATGTGGTCGAAATGTGCACCTCGTGGGTCAAACACAAAGCCAGTCATTGTGACGTGTTCAATGTTTGTAAATTTATCCACTAACTTACCCTTTTAGGATGCATAATGTCCAAAACATTTTTGTGTGCTAATTGTGAAAATCACTTCTGTAAATAATCGCATTGGGAAAGCTGGATTAAAGCAACAATGACAACGATGTCATATTTATTTTCAAAGGCTAAGGCAACAACGACGATTAAGAGACACGGACGGCAACGAAATTTCAAAAAATAAACGGGAACTTGGATATTAGCAAATGTCCGTTTAGAACAGGTCAGGGATTGGTCAATCATGTGAACATAATTTCCAAACGAAGTTTTGGGTAGAATGATGATTAAAAATCCCACCACTTGTATGTACAGCGGATATAGCATTTCGGCGTGCCCGCGGAACGGAACCCGGCGAAGGCAGACCGTCAAGAACAGCATAAGGAACAAGTAAAAATTGCGGCAGCACCAGGAGAAAGTAAATTGGATTATCAAGGACAAATGATCTTGCTTGTGACATAGAAGGGTGGTTTGGGGGCGATAGGGGAAGATTAAGAATAAGTGCTGGTAGCATTGTCGACTTTGGTCACCGTTTATGAAAAACAGACATTTCAAACAACACCAAACAACACAAATATTTATTGGACATAATCAAACATATTTTTCACGAAATAAAATCATGAGTACAGTGAACCACAGCCAAAGACAATTTATCTTTATTGATCAATATTTGTTATCAGATTTTCATTTTTGCTGCCAAAAGCAATATCTGTGTATATTAAATTACTATGCCTCATCCTAACAGTCCTGAATGTTCTAATTTTAATATAATTTGTCAGACATCCTGGTTTAAGGTGAGGTAGTTTCAACAGGCATTGATTGATAAGCTGTTTAAAATTAGCCAATCAAAATGTGAGTTTTTAAGGGGATGACATTGGCAAGGTATTTGAGAAATAAAGAAAAACTCATCGCCAGCAGATGAACGAGTTTTATTGTCATGTATCAGGTCCAGTACCAGCCTGGCACAAATATATGAAGCTTGTAACTGGATTGCCCTCAGGGAGGTTATTTCTTCACTCTGTTCCTAGGCTAACCGTGTGATACCTGTCGACGATCACTGACACATTGGCTCTGAATATCCATTTTATTTTTCAGTTCTTCTCACTACAACAATCTGTACATTTTCTCGAAAAAAAGTCCACATGACAGTGAGTTTCACAGTCATAAGGTGCGTGTTGTCCAGAAAACAGCCCTCAGATGGACAGAAAACGGAGCATTCTTTTGAGCAGCCGTCACTTTGGATGAGAAGGATTTGAAATGAAGCTGGACGGTAATCTCATCCAATTGGATTATCTCACCGAAGTTAATAGTCTAGAGGTTGGAGTCATTGACTGCCTGGCGATAGAAAATTGAATGGCATTATCTCCCTCTTTTTCGGACTAATACTCCAAACCTGAAATTCAGATTAAGGCTGAAAGTAGAGTAGGAAGCTTCATTTGATAAGGCGGGTAGGCTTTGCTGACAGTATGCGTAAAGTGCATTTCGGGTCGAGGTCCAGCTCATGCGCACCTCTTAAACTCACGCTCATTTCGCTGCTTTTTTTGGAACGAGCTTAAAACTAGTCACATGGATGTGGACGACTGCTGATACAAAGAGGATTTCTCGACCCGATACGACCGCCAACCACTGCTAATAGACGAGGCTTTCACAGCAAAATACCAACGTTCTAAACCTGGGAGTAATAGGTTATTGCAATATGCAATATATTATTAAAAACAAACGACAAAGTTACCAGTTTCGGCAGAAAACTGAGTAACCTTTAAAACAGGAACAGGAAATAAACTGAAACAAAAAGAGAAAAAAGTTCCATGCAGTATTTGAACCATGGACATTCTCCTTTACTATCCCTTCTCTTCTCCACTACTACATGCAAGCCAGGTCGACCATGGTTCGACCAACCTCCTTTATTTCTTATTTTGGCGGCAACGACTCTTCGTAATGCTGCTCGAGCCGCTACATAATGCAGGTGCCTTTTGTACTATATTACCTACAAGCTTAGTACCGAGGCATTTCGCAGTACCGAGGCATTTCGCAGTAAGAGCCTCATAAATATTTTCTTATGATCGGTTGGTATACCGTCGTATATGCGAATATCTCAGTGTTCCTTGTTTGTAGGAAAACTGACTGGAAACGGTTACCACTGGTTGGTTTTTTTTAGGTTGAGGGCATCGTAGATTGTAAACATGTCCTATTTTGGGGTAAATTTCCGAGTAAGTTCTACACTCCCCTCAATGTCATGATATTTTACCGGACATTCATTTCTCTCTTCCTAATCACCTCTTGGAAATGTTGTTTTGCATCCCTGACCCCTTTTTGGATTAATGATTCATCACTTTCTGTCTTGTCCCGAGTTTCCTTTCATGCAGTGACGATCACCGCCAAGCCCTTTCAATGCGGCAATATTTTTAGCATATGAGAGAACGGGGGGCGATAAACGCCAAGAAAAGAATTAGAGGCTTCGCCGTCCCGGTAACCCGAGAGTTGGCCTGTAATAAGCTCCAATCTTCCCTGGCCTATATCCATGTCTTTGCGGATAAACGGATACGAGCCTCGATCAATCTATACCAGAGCCGTCTTATAACAGCCAACCATCGAATAGTCATGATTCGGAGAAGAGGCCAGCGGTAGGCAGACACTTTCCTGGGCTGGGTTGACTGGCGTGCTGAC